TATTTCGTTATAGTACTTTGTACAGAAGTCATATGCCCTGTGCCAGGAGACCCAATATCGTATACCCTCTTGTTCTCCTTTCCCATAACCCTGTACCCTGGTCTCCGGAGGCCCTGACCCAGTGTCCCTGTAGATTGTGGCCTTTTAGTGCCGGTAACTGTGCCCCAGTAGCCTGTGTCCTGTGACCTATGTCCTGTAGCCTGTGTGCTCTGTCCTGTAGCCCATGGTCATCTGAGCCACTCAGGAAAGGCTGCTTGGCTACTTCCCACAGTCATGAGAGTTAAGGCTGGGCTGCCAATCTTCTGCCTTTGATATCTACAGGCAGGGCCACTGAAGCTGGTGGCCCATTTGCTTCTTGTGTACAAAAGTACATGAGCAGTGTCACCTGGCTGCTTTTAGGGTGACAGGCAGATGGGCAGAGTCACCTGACTGCTTTCTGAAGCCCTCTACAAGCCAAGCCACTCAGGATGTGCATCCCAGGTTCTTTCCAGGGCAATGGGAGGGGGAGCGGGGCTACCTGACAGGTTTACAGGCCTGGGTCAGCTGGGATCTTGGGAGGATGCCAGAAGAAAGGCTCTCAACAGAGTTTTGTGCAGCAAGAGCCTAATGTAAAGAGGGCAAAATGTAAGCCAGGATCTTTCTCTAAGGCCATGTAGCAGTTTGATACTCCTACAGGTCCCCACACTGGGCTCAGGTTCTGTGAGGGCCTCATTATTGTGGAAAATATTTGCCATATAATTTAATTGAATCAATACATGTTTGCATACTAATCGACCAAATCATTCTGAATCTTTCGGAGAAGAAGATTATTTATTTTCTCTTCAAATAAATATATAAGCGGGACTGGCGCTGTGGCTCAGTGGGTTAATGCCCTGGCCTGAAGTGCCGGCATCCCATATGGGAACTGGTTCAAGATCTGGCTGCTCCACTTCCTGTCCAGCTCTCTGCTATGTATCAGGAAAAGCAGTAGAAGATGGCCCAAGTCCTTGGGCCCCTGTACCCACGTGGGAGGCCGGGAAGAAGCTCCTGGCTCCTGGCTTTGGATCGGCCCATCTCTGGCTGTTGCGGCCATTTGGGGAGTGAACTATTGGATGGAAGACCTCCCTGTCTCTCAGCCTCTCCTCTCTCTGTGTAAATCTGACTTTCAAATAAATAAATCTTTAAAAAATGTATAAGTGCATATATTTTTTGTTACAAATTTCAGTTTTGCATAGATTCATAGATGTGTGCATAGAGGTACACATTTAGGTATAAAGACACTGCAGAGCAAAAACTTCCAGAAGCACTCTACAAGCTGTCTTTCTGGGCAAAGGAAAAATAGAGCTCGTATAATACATTGACAAAAGTTCACAAGATCAGATCATGTCTTGACATACTTAACAAGCACTCTCTATTTGTCTCCAACAAACAAAGCTAAGGAAATAATGTAACCACCTTTACACAGTAAATTAAGGTTACAAGTCATACACAAGAACAGAACGGCTTGTGCATTAAAAACCGTTCAGTTCCACTGTCATACTATAAATTTTGGCTCTTAAACTGTTTCCTGTTACATAGAAGCAAAAGTTATTATATACTCAGCAATTAATAAACTTTCAATGATTTAAGATATGGTAGCTTAAAAAAAGTAGACTGAGAATGGTCTTGGTAAGGCAGGTGAAACATCTTAGTGGAACTAAACTCACAGAAGCTTCACCAATGTTGTTTAAATAACCAGACTGAAACAGAAAGGTTCAAATTAACTTATTTTGTGGGTGTCAAGATGTCATTTTTTTCAAGCTGCATGACTAAAGCAGAGCAAGTCAGGTAAGCCATGTGTGTGTGCATGCACCCACAATGTGAACAATCATGTGGTAATAAACAACTGGGGAACTGCAAGCATTAACTCTGTGCTTTTTCTTGTGTTTTGTAAACTGCTTTCTGTGCCACTGAATACCAAGTATTTCTGGTCCTTTCTAAATATATCTCCTCATCATCTACACTAGTGTCTTTACGCACTGCCTACTAACTGTAGGGCAAACTGCAAATGCAAGAAGTCTACAGGAATTCCATTTCCAGAATGCATGTCTGAGGGATGTCATCAATTTCAGAAATACAAATGACCTTCTATCTTGTAATACTCCTGTTCTCCAAACTCTCTCCAAGGAAGAAATTATTTTGATAAATAAATATAAATATCTACAACAAAAATATTCTTTTCAAATAGTCAGTAAGAAATAAATTATATGCTCTCCTTTATGTTATTTTATCTGCTCATGATGTAGATCAACTTAATTATCAATAATACAGAATTTTTGATATGCAATAATAAATTCAGTGATACTTGGCTTTAAACATTTTTATTAAAATTTAATGGTGATTTTGGTTATAAAATATATTTCTCACATTCCAACATACCCAAAAGGATAAATGTAATCTGAAGCATTGGTAGGAGTACGGCATCTGATATATTCTCTAGATTAAATTCATTTAAAAAAATATAGAAGACCTAGAGCCGGCACTGTGGCATAATGGGTAAAGCCACCACCTGCAGTGCTGACATTCTGTATGGGCACCAATTTGAGTCCCAGCTGCTCCACTTCTAATCGAGCTCTCTGCTAAGGCCTGGGAAAGCAGTAGAAGATAGCCCAAGTCCTTTGGCCCTTGCCCTGCGTGAAAGACCCTAAAGAAGCTTCTGGCTCCTGGCTTCAGATTATCTCAGCTCCAGATTTTGCAGCCATCTGGGGAGTGAACCAGCAAATGGAAGGCCTCTCTCTTTCTGCTTCTGCCTCGCTATATTCTGCCTTTCAAATAAATAAATCTTTCTAAAAGATGAAGAAAAATCTAGGTTTTACCATCTTATTCCCTGCTTTTGTTTTTGATCATGATCTGCTGTCCACCTAATAAATATATTACATTTACATCATTTATTGGATACGTGGGAAACTTTGTGAAAACTAATATAAAGAGGAAGGAGCTAGTGCTACCTGATGGTTAAGGATTTATAATAGTAATAAAATAGTAGTTTTCATAGTAGTTTGTAGAATACTTTGCAAAAATGTTACCAAACTAGAATGGAATGACTAAAATGAACTTACAAAAAGAGAGATGAGACTTAAACTTTTCATACCTATTTATCTAAATATTGCTAATTAATGCAGGTCCATAGCAAGTTATCTATTTTGATCAAAACTTATCCATTTCATGTTGGTGATTACATTTAGTGCATCTCATTTGTACAAGCATCTCAGTTTCATACTCTGCTGTAT